AACTGAATTAAATCAGACTTTTATTTTGAAATATCCGGTTACCAAAACAGGATGTGTGGCCACAAGTTCGTAAAATCGACATTGATGTAGCGTGGCTGTATTGTGTTAAAATATCGGCATATAACATACTTCCATGCGTGGCTGTGTGATATATTCATTCTGAAGCTGAATTAAAGCAGTAGGCTAACTCGCTAATGGTAAAGATGTGAGTTTGTTAAACCGGCAGGCACAACAGTGATAAACGACTTCTGCCAGGGAACGCAAAAGGTATTGCGAGGTAACACAATACTATTGCGTGGGAACACAAAAGGAAAAAAAATCCCCCACGTCCCCTCGCGGGCTCAGTAGTTTCCCTGCTAATATTTGATTAAATGTATTTTAGAGTCAATCACAATCACTAAAAGGAAGTGAATAGGTGTTTCAAAATAAAAGACCTTCGGCTCCACTTTTCTTTCAAGACGTAGGTGAATGTGTTTATTATTTGAGCCTGTCTGGATTATAAACCATTAAATCTGTTTAATCGTTTCACCCTGAAAGAAAACAAAAACAGTTGAAATGAATCATTAAAACGTGACGTTCATGATGAGTGGAGGGAAACTTTCTACCTCAGCTGTTTGTAGGTGAGCCTCCACTCCCTGGAGGTTTATGCATATAGAAAATTTACTCAAATATTTACTCAGCATATGAAATCATACAGTATATACTGAATCCATCTGTTTATATCTATATCTGAACTTAACATTTTGGATGGCGTTCACGTCCAGGTTTGGTAGTTTGCTTGTATATTTCTGCTGCTTTTGCCTGCCGCTGCTCGGGATTTTAACTCCCTGTTCTTTAAAATGGAAAAAAAAACACGTCAATGGTATTATTTCAAGCTTTTTTTTATTATTATTTTGGTTTTGAGACTTGCTCTTAGCATTAAGTGAATGATGTCTTGCACCGTGGCGCTCTGCTGAATCCTCATCAACGGCGTTCAACGTGAACCTTTCTGGGGAAAATTACAGAAAAACAAACAAAAGAAACATTCCAGTGTGTAAATATCCAGTCTTTGTCTACATAAACACAAACACATTTTTTTTTAATCGATGCACGTTATCAAGGCCACTGAGACTCGTTAGACTCCAACTCTCTGATGATGCACCTTATTTCTGTTCTGTGAAGATCCCAGCAGTCTGATCAGTTTTTTAGGAGCAGAACTGCTTTGTGCTCTAGAAACAGAAAAAATAATTGAAATGTTAAAAATGTTTAACAGTTGTGCACTGCTTTGCCCCCCACCCCCTCCTCTCCTGGTCTACTTCCAGTCAGAACGCCTAAAGCCAAACAGTGTCAAAGTTTGGTGTGTGTCTGAATGCAATGTGCAAG